CATCAAAGACGTGGCGGGCGAGGAATTTGAGGGTGCCCTTGGGCCAACTTGGCACAGGAACGGGGCCTTGAGGAGATCACGGCCCTCCTGTAGGACCCCGCCTGTGACAGGGGGCAAGGCAAGAAGAGCACAGGGGAGACTATGCAGTCTGACGTTTGCTGGGGGAGCACGGGGGATGATAATACCATCTGTCCCTTTCCACAGATACTTGCTTCCCCACCCCATTCTCAGCCCATTCCTTCAGATCCAACTCAGGCCAGGCCTGGAGCTGCTATTTCTGCCTGGTTAGGCTTGAGATCTCCTTGCTGACTGCACCAGAACAGAGCTGCAACAGAACACCTGGGCAGGAGGAGGGTGGCACCTGACAGGTGGCAAGTGGAAGGGGAGAACGGAGGTAGATACAGGCATGGGGTGGGGGGCCTTGCCTCCTGCAGCTGCTTTCCCCAGCACAGTGCTGGGGAAGGAAGAATTTAAAAGATGACCCTCCAATAATTTGATACTATACATGGAAAATTATAACAAAGTTATAACTTTCCATATATAGTAACCTGGGCAACAGTGACCATGAAGTTTATCAGGTTCACCATCCGCCACAAGGCCGACAAATCAACCAGCAGAATTAAAGTCGTGGACTTCAAAAATGCTGACTTTTTGACAGGCTCAGAGCATTAGTATGGGAGGCGACGTGGGATCAGGAAGGCAAGGCAAATGGGGTGCATGAGTGGTCATTGCTCAGGATACAATCCTCGAAGCACAGAAGAAAATCGTTCCTACAAAGAAGAAAGGTAGCAGAAGGGCTGGCAAGCCCCCCTGGCTTAATAGGGACACTTTTTTTTTTTTTTTTTTTTTTTTTAAAAAAAGTGTACACACAGTGGAAGCTAAGGATGGTCCTCAAGGAGGACTATACAATAGTGGCCAGCACCTATAGGAAAATGATCAGGAAAGCCAAGGCAGCGACAGAGTTTAGGTTAGCCATGGGAGTCCAGGACAATAAGAAGTCCTTCTTTAGGTATGTAGGCAGTAGAACGAAACCAAATGGAAGTGTGGGACCCATGCTTAATATCACGGGACAGCTGGTAACCAACGTTCAAGAAAACTGAACTCCTGAATGCTCACTTTGCTTCGGTATTTCACCGAACCAAGGGGAAAGTCAAGCGAAATAAGGCTCATAGGGGACATGCCAGGACTGACAGCCTCCCCACTGTGGATGTTGAGTGGGTGTAATATACCAATTAGAAAAGCTAGACATTTATCAGTCAGTAGGACCCATTTGAGAGTGCTGATGGAGCTGGCTGAGGTCATCGCGGAACCCCTGGCAAACTCTTTCAGAACTCATGGTGCACAGGGGAAATCCCTGAGGATTGGAAGAGGGCCAACATTGTGCCCATCTTCAAGAAGGGGAAGAGGGAGGACCCAGGTAACTATAGGCCAATCAGCCTAACCCCCATCCCAGGGAAAACCCTGGAAAGACTCATTAAAGAATCTATGAGCAATACGCTCGCAGAAGCTAAGATTCTAAACGACAGCCAGCGTGGATTTGTCACAGATAGGCCTTATCTTACCAATCTCATCTCCTTCTATGACCAGATCTCTCGTCACCTGGACATGGGAGACATTATATATCTAGACTTCCAAAAGGCTTTTGATCTAGTATCCCACAATATTTTTGTGGGAAAACTGGAAGATTGTGGGCTCAGCTGCTCAACGGTTCAGTGAGTGGGAAATTAAGTACAGGGTAGGACCCAGAGAGTTCTCATGAAAGAATCTGTGAGGTCCTGGTGCAAAGTGCCCAGTGGTGTCCCTCAGTAGTCTGCACTTGGGCTGGTGCTTTATCAATCAACATCTTTATCAGTGATTTAGATGGAGGAGTGACAAGCTCACTAGCCAAGTTCAACGATGAGACCAAGTTATGGGGCAGCGTGGTCACATCAGAAGATAGACTGCAGATACAGGCAGACCTGGACAGGCTCAAGAGTTGGGCAGACCAGAACCAGATGAAGTTTAACACTTGCAAGTGTTAAAGGTGCTCTATCTGGGGGCAAACGACCCTCAACATACACACAGGCTTGGTGATGACAGCTTGACTTGCACCATGGCCGAAAGGGACGTAGGGGTAATGACTGACCATCGTATGAATATGAGCCGTCAATGCGAGGCAGTCGTCAGCAGGGCAAACAACATGCTGGCATGCATCAACCGATGCATCTTGTGTAAAACTACGGAAGTGATACTCAAGCTGTACTCAGCACTGGTGAGACTGCAGCTGGAGCACTGCATCCAGTTCTGGGCGCCGCACTTCAATAAAGACATGGAAAAACTTGAGAGGGTCCAGAAAAGAGCCACCCGTGTGATCAGGGACTTGCAAGGCAAGTCATCTGAGGAAAGGCTGAGGGACCTGGGCCTCTTTAGGCTAAGGAAAAGAGGGTCGAGAGGGGACTTGATAACAGCTTACTGCTATATCAGAGGAGCACATCAGGAGCTCGGTGAACAACTGTTCACTAGGGCATTCCCAGGGAAGACCAGGACCAATGGATACAAACTCCTGGAAGGCCGCTTCAGGCTTAATACCAGGAAAAACTCCTTCACAGTCAGGGGGTCCAGACTGTGGAATAAACTCCCTCCAGAGGCAATGCAAATCGCATACCCTGGAGGTTTTCAAGAGGAGACTAGACAGTCACCTTGCAGGGGTCACCAAACACCAGTTGTCTTCCTACTTGGAGCTGGAGGGTGGGACCCGATGATCTGTAAAGTCCCTTCCAGCCCCATACAATCTATGAATCTATGTATAAAATCAAATTACTAAAGGGTTGTCTTAAAATTTTGAAGTCATCTTGGATTCAGGTAAATACAACATATTTACCTCTTTGCTATACATAAATTGCAAGAAGATAAGGCACAAACACTATGCAGAGCCAAAGCTACAAGTGACTTTCTAAAACCTTCTTGGAAACTAGATGGAAGAAATGCATTTATTTGATATAGTATCAGAGAACACATTCAGTCTAAAGTATTAGCTAGCTCTAGCAAATCTGGTCAGTTTTCCATCTTTTACTTATGGTTAGAAAACTGTGTCCCCTCCTTTTTGATGAAGAACTTGTAATGATCACCCAGGCCTGCACTACCTCAACATCAGAGGACTCCAACCCAGTCTATTCCTTAAGAAACACTGAAGATTAAAACAAATGTGAAATGCTGTTTACTCACTAAATGGATCATCACATCACAGGTATATAAAATAATCAACACTCCAGTCTTCATTAGCTACCAAGTGGAGATTTTTGGGCAAAGTTCCATCATCTTCTTGATCAGCCAAGCCCCAAATGACTTACACAAACTGCCCGCTCCCAGCTGCCATGGTAAGTTATCCCAGACACACACACAGCTCTCTCCAGCTAGCTGTAACAGCATCTATAGCAGGCAGCTGCCTACCTGATAGCAAGAATTGGCACAGAGATAAAATCTGCTAGGGAAATGGATACAAGTCAATAAGCCGCTACAACTTAAAACAGTATACATGTACCCCTCACTTTGAGAGGCAGCTTTATCTGGGAGTGGAATGACTGACACTGGTATAAAGCTGTATATTGTGCATCCTCTTCACTTTACTGCATAGTAATTTACTCTGTGATAAGTGTCAAATGCCCATACCCCTTACTGTAAATGATTAGTGGCTACTGCTCATAAGTTGTTATGGGGTCCTGTTTTCAAATTTGGAGAAACAAGCAGGGCCTGGCCGGGGGTGGTGTGGAAATCAGGGCAACTGCCCCAGGCCCCACACTTTGGGGGGCCCCGCAGAGCCCGGCAGAGCGGTGACTCTACACTGCCGCCAGCTTCACGTCCAGCCACTTGCCAACCCCCACCCGGCCGCCCGCCGAATCTGCCATGGGCTCTCTCGCATCCGGGGGCAGGGCCCCGCACATGCCAATTTATGGCCCCGCACCCTGCTCAGATTGTCTCTGGGAACAGGAGTTTAATAAGTCTGGTTTACTGGTACAGGTTCATGATAAACCATACAGCTGCACTCTGAGTGAACTTTTAGGTCATTTCAAAAGAAGGAGTCAGCTGACAACTCATTTTAGCCTTTAAAATGCATTAAATAAAAGGCTGAACAATGGTAGTTTTACTGAAGTTCTTGCCTGTTTGTATGTCCTTCCACAGAACCCAGGATTTGGAGCTGTCTTCAAATATAATGAAGCAGCTCTGTTTCAGTTTGTTTATCTGAAAAGAAAAAGAAAAATATACACTGGAGACAATGAGCAGTAAAAGAAAAATAAGTCAGGTATATTTAACTAAATATACACTTAATACTGTGGCCAAGTTGAAGCAATTTATACATGTCTTACAGCAGCGCTTCCACAACTTTTCTTCAACATGACCCTATATCCACAGCATGGCCGCTCACTCCCAAGTCACAGCCCCCAACCCTGCCCAGGTGCCCCTCACTCCTGACCCAGCCTCCTGGTCCTGCTAGTGCCCCTCACTCCAAGTCTGCAGCCCCCCACTCTTCCCAAGTGCCCCACAGCCCATAGCCCCCTGCTCCCCAACCCCAGCAGCACCTAAGCCCTGGCTACTGTCCGCAGAAGCAGCAGCTTTTGAAGCCGGAGTGTCCCCCTGACCCCTCCCCCATGGGCAGACCAGAGCCCAGGGGGGGAAGGGGGGTGCAGGGACAAGAGATGGGGCTGCCCACTGAGGGCTTGGGTCTCCCCTGCTGCCATTCCCCCAGGGCCACTACAGCCCAGTGGGCAGGACCTGGTGCAGGAGAGCACTGCACCATGACCCCATCTGCTGATGTTGTGATCCCATTTGGGGTTGTGACCCACGGTTTGGGAACCGCTGTCCCACAGCATCAACAAGACATACTATAAGCATATTAAAATTAATTACCTTTTTGATGGTTCCAAGATAAAACAAGCCATCTGACCATCTAGCTAGGACATCCTGACCTTCTTCAAATTTACACACGGGCTTTTTGGCTTTCTGTCCATCATGTATGGACAGCTTGGTCAAGGATGTTGGGGTCTTTTGGTTTCGGCGTAAAGGAGACCGCTTGTGGACCAATGAATTACCCACCCCTGTAGAGTCTCTAAAACAAGAAGCCAAGAGAAAGAAAATCAAGTTGTGAGAAGTTAGTGGTAGGTTTGTCTACATTAAGAGCATCCAAGACTAAACCCTCACCCTGCTTAGCTCCAGGTGTCCAAGTTGTGATACCAATCTGTCTGGTTTCTTATACTTCAGATCTGCTTGTATTCTTTGCCAAGGAAGTTCTCCCCTCCCCCCCATACACACAAAAAAAACCAAAAAAACCCCAAAAAAAGCAAAAAAATCCACACCCGAAGGAATCCATTATTTAAAAAGAAGAGATGCACAAAATCTGGTTGAACATAAAGCTAGAAAAGCAAATATAAAAGGTAGTTTATCTATAGACAATCTAGGTCTATATATGAAATGATCACACTGATATTTTGGGAATCCTAAACAATTACAACTTGGGTCTTAAAGCAAAGAAAAAACCCCAAATCCCACATACAATGTCTTCTTGTGGGACAAGCTGATGATCTGATCTATCTTTAAGCAAATTCTCGCTACCCTTCACACCAGGATGCTATGAATAACCAACATATATCTAGCTTCACTATAATAAAAAAAAACCCCTTTCCTTCCATCTCAGCTTCCATGTATACTGAAAAGCAGAAAGAATGATGTCCTGGTCATGCAGCACCTCTCTACTAAATTTCTTTTCTGACTTGGCTCAAACAAGTTGAGCCACAAACTACACACAAGGGAAAATAAACGTGGTTGGTTATGCTGTCCCCAAGAAGCACTATGGGATACAACTGTCATTCAGAGTCATTTGTGAAGGAAGTCATAAGAAGCAAGTTTCATTTTTCATGTAAGGTTGGATAATGCAGATATCCACAATTTAAACAGGACAGCAGCTGGTCCAGGAGGAACTATTTATATTCCACTCATGAGAACAGGGGTTTTGGTGGCTACAGGCTGCCAAACATTAAGATTTTTTCCTAACCCGATAAAAGATACAGCAGCCACACTAAACTTAAAGAATTAAAAGTCTGCAAAAGGTTGGAAAAAGATTTTTTTTTTTTTTAATTGTACTTGTGTTCTTTTTGCTTACTTGGAATGCAAAGTTCACGCCAGCCTTCCAATTCTAGTATTGTAAAAGCCTAAGTCTGTCTGTAACGCTTTATTTGCGCCCTGATTGGCTGACAAACAGCCAATCAGAACACGAAGAAGCATTCTGACAGAAGGCAGCCCACTGCCATGACAGTGGGGAAACAGGGGACAGAGCAGCAGAGTGGATAGAAGCGGGGGCAAGGCCAGCAGGGCTAGCCTTGCACACCCCCCCCTTTCAGGTAAAGCAGTGAGGGGGAAAAGCTGGCCCGCCATGGCGGGGCAGGTGGGAGGACCGAGGGCCTGACTTGACACAGCAGCGGCTGGGGGAGGGAAGGAGCAGGCCTCCTCCCCCGCTCAGGCCCACTCTTCCCCACATCGGCCCCAAGTCCATTCCTCCTGTCCCCGACTGTGCCTGATTGGGGGGCGGGGAGGGGGGCGGGGAGGAGAGCAGGTACACCGTGGTGTTGGTGGGGCCCATCACAGCAGCTGTGGGAGGAGGGGGGAAACAAGCAAGCCTCCTCCACCTGCTGGGCCCAGGCCCACTCCTCCCCACCGCGTTGGCTGCAAGCCTGCTCCTCCCATTCCCCCCCCCCAGGTCGGCCCAGGCCTGCACTGCTCCCCTTCCCCACCAATCAGCCCAGTCCTTCCCTGCATCAGGCCCAGGCCCACTCCCTCTTTTCCCGCGCTGCTGAGGCAACCGGGGGGGGGGGGGGGCGGCCTGAACCCCAAGCAACAGGAGGGAAGGGGGAGCCAGCCCAGACAGGGGGAGCAGCCCTGGGGCTCCAACCCTGCCTGCTCCCTGCACCCCACCCCCTATCACTCTTGATAGGCAACTGGCTAGTAAACAACCAAACATTAAAAATAAACAAGAATGTCAGGTTTGGCCTTCTTCAGTTTTACTAAGTATCTGGTTTTAGGAATGCTTGTTTTGCAAGGCTTTGTCTGGAACTTTTAGACAAAAACAAAAGAAGACCCAAAGCCCCAAATAATTACCTTCTTTCTCTTCTCATTTCCTCCTTTTCATTCATAATTCTTGTCACCAAATCTATAGTTTTCTATCCAGTTTACAGTAGGTCTGCAAAGCACAATGCAGTAGCATACAAAGAGAACTGGCATGAGGTCTGTACAAGCCAGTGATTCTCAACCAGGGTGCCATGAGATCCTCCAAAGGGTACCAAAGAAAATGGGAGGGAATGGACAAGGTGTGAGAAGCTAAACAAATAACAGCCAATTTAGGATCTCCCTGCCAAAATTATGGAGGGTGCCTTGAATCTAACAATGTTGAAAATCATTGGTATAAGCCAACTTGGGTACTAGAAGCAGCATAACTGTGTGAGTGCAATCTACCTGGGCTAATCAAGCTATACAAAACTTACAGTACCCAACTGAGGTTCTTCTGATATAGCTTGGGTATTTCTACCCAGTACTGCATTAGTCCATGGAGAATATACCTATGGCATCTTCCAGGTTAGAAACAACATGAAAGTATAATATACACACAAAAATAATTTGGGGAAAGTAAGCCTTTCAGCCCCCTGTTATACTCTTTTGCGATAGAGTATTTTGTGTTGAGTAGTATAACACATAATATAGTTCTTGCCTAGGGGCTTTCTAGAGTGCTACAACATAATATAGTTCTTGCCTAGGGGCTTTCTAGAGGGCTACACCCCCACTGCTACCATAACCACCAATAATGCAGCAAAAAGGTACAAGGCCCAAATTTTTCTCATTTTTAAATCTTAAAATGCAGACAGGAAATTAATTTAAAGAGCACACAGGAGAAACTAGAGCAGAACTGAAACAGAGCAAATTATAACTATTTATGCTACCCAAAAGACAGCCAAGCACCACAGCAGGTAGAGGCCACTGGCTAAGTGCCTGGAATCAGTTTCTTAAGAGTTAAACTAAATTTTGACAGAAGTTGTTCTCTCTGCAAGTGCAAAAAAGAGACATTTTCTGTATTTCATAAAACACAAACAAAAATAAGATTAACCAACAATTAATACATATTTCAGTTTCACAGGAGGTGATGATTACATTGTATGCCTAGGACAAAAAGAATGAAAAGGAGTGGGAAGTCATAAAGTAGGGTCAACTCTCCACAAAAAGGAACCTTCAAAATTGAAATACAGGATCTGAGATTAACATAGGTAAAAACAACCTCTTCTACATTCTACATAGAAGTTTTCTTTAGAAATGAATCTATGTGGGTGACTGCTACTAAGTTACCACCACAGAACAAAGAATAAAATGGAATAATGCAATTTCTTGAAAGATCAAAAAGTTGCAGCTCACAGCAAGTCAGTTATGTTAGTGGTGTAGTGTCATCTGAATGAACTGAAATGTATAAACATTTAAAAAGCAGTAAGAATACCAATGACCCACAGAATTAAAATGAATGAGTAATTAAATCAAGCTGTGTCAAAGTTGTACTAAAAACCCCAAAAAAGCTAAGTCAAACACCAAGCTAAGTCTTCTCCCCTAAAGGATATTAATACTTTCAGTATCCCAAATGAAACAGGACAATTCAACTAAGAGGGAAAATCCACTCTATAGAGTGTATCAAAACTGCAAACAGTAAGTCAGAAAGCAAAATTTTTTAATCTTATGACAAATCAATATCTGACAAACAGCATAAAGAAAAAAATTCAACAAAAGCTAACTACAAGAACTATTTCTTTTCAACCATTCTTCTAGCATTTGCTCTAATGTTTGGGGATGTGCAAAATGCTTTAAACTTAATTAAAACGAAGTATTTCTAAATATTTAAAATAAAAAAATTTGAAATGACTATTTATGCTACCAAAAGGCAGCCAAGCACCACAGCTGGTAGAGGCCAACCACCTGGAACCAGTTTCTTAAGAGTTAAACCAATTTTTTTTACAGCAGTTGTTCTCTCTGCAACTTCAAAAGAGACATTTTCTGTATTTCAGTTTATTCAAAATGGGACACTTCAAATAACTAGTCCAGAGCTGTCCAGTTTCTGGGCCACCAAGGGCTGCACACCAGGCATGCCACAGACACAGGAGCCACACAGGCTGTTCATTGTGACATGCCCCAACCCAGTCCCTCCTCCCAACACATGGGCAGCCTGGCTCCCCATCCCACTGCATGTGCTACTCCCCACCCCCATCAGGCACCCCACACATGTAGCCTGGCTCCTTTCCTTGCCACATACACAGCACAAGCACCCTGGAGCCCCTCCCACTGCTCCATCCCACTTCCAGGAATGGGGTAAAGAAGTGGAAACAGGAGGGAGGGAGGGATGGGGAACACAGAGACCCCAGCCAAAGCCACAGCAGAAGCAATGGGAAAAGGTGGCAGGGCAGGAGCCCATGGGCCACATGCTAAACCCTCACCAGTGAGAGACAGCCCTCAACCAGCAGCAGATCTGAGGTTGAGAAATTCATTGCGAGGGGTGGGGGGTGCTGACAGAGCTGGAAAGATGGTTTTGCCCCGTGAATAAGAACAAAGCAAGAGGACATAAAGCAAGAAGGATACAAAAAATAAAGCAAAAGGATACGACTTCAGTAATTTTAAGCCCCTGAGACAAGAGTAACCAAAAACAATTCACTCACTACAGTCATATTTCAGTTGTTTAATAAATCAAGTTTTAAAATCAGAACTATTTTGATAAACTTGTATATGGGACAATGTTTTTAACTGATTAGAGAAAACCTTAACAATCTTAAAACTGCAATATTTGTGCATTTCAAGCTGCTGTCCAAATTCAGCCTAACAAACCACAAAGAAAAATGAGAAATGCATCATTCACCGTATTCTAACAAACTACAAGTTATCTGAATAAATGTATGTTCACCTATCTTAGAGCTGGACTTCATAGACATCAGGGCTGGAAGGGACCTCAGAAGATCATCGAGTCCAGCCCCCCACCCAAAGGGCAGGAAGTCAGCTGGGGTCATAGGATCCCAGCAAGATAAGCATCCAGTTTCATTTTGAAGGTGTTCAATGAAGGCGCTCGAACCACCTCCAGTGGAAGGTGGTTCCAGACCTTGGGGGTTCGGACAGTAAAGAAGTTCTTCCTTATGTCCAGCCTGAAACGATCTTGAAGTAGTTTGTGACCATTGGACCTCGTCATCCCTTGGGGCGCTCTGGTGAACAAACGTTCCCCCAGATGCTGGTGGTCACCCCTGATAAACTTGTAGGTGGCCATCAGATCACCCCTGAGCCTGCGCTTTTTCAGGCTAAAGAGCCCCAGGGCTCTCAGCCTGTCATCGTAGGGTCTGCTTCCCTGACCTCTGATCATGCGCATGGCTCTTCTCTGGACTCTCTCAAGCTTCTCCACATCCTTTTTGAATTGTGGAGCCCAAAACTGGACGCAGTACTCCAGCTGCGGTCTAACTAAGGCCGAGTACAGGGGGAGAATGACGTCCCGGGATTTGCTTGAGAAGCATCTATGGATGCAAGCCAGCGTTTTGGTCGCTTTAGGTTGCAGTATAGACAAGCCTTTAAGTTGTCAAATTTCGTTTTAAAGATAGCCCCAACTCTCCATACGCAGGAATGGCGGGGGAACCACAACAACACTTTAATATATGGTTGTTAGTAATACTTCTGACATTACTCAAGAATTTTGAGGAATCACCACTCTTCTCATTTACTGGGTAAAAAACCCCCCAAAAACAAAGTTGTAAATGGCATATGGAAGAAGTCTTGTATTTCCCATCCCCCAATTTCAAATTGGCTTTATCCATCATTCTGTAAAAACAGCAGGACTATATTTTCAACATGCTTTGGAAACATTAACACACTGGAGTTTATGGAACAAACCCTCTGAGGATGTAAGTCTGCAGGACTTCATTGCTTTCTGTTAAGGGCTAGGTATTAGTAACAATAATAGTGCCTCTTGGTGGAAGATAAGATAAGAATAAAAAACAGAAGTCAGCATTTACTAGGAATATGCAGCTTGAGACTGATTCCTGTAAAGATCTTGTTTTCAGTATGAAAGGCAGAGAAATGAATCACACAAAATACAGCTGAAAATATCTGCTAAATTCCCATTTGGAATTAGCAATAAACCTTTGATCATTAATGGCACTTGAGTTTTAAGAGACAAAACTAAGTCTTGTTATTAGTACAAATAAGAAGCTATAAAGAGGAGAGCAATTAAAGATGCCCCAGGGAGATAGATAGAGGCCATTGGATTTAGTTAGTGCTCTGAAAATAGAAAGAACTGATCCTTTCCTGCATTAAATACATATTAAACAGTAGTCACCTGAAGGAAGGCTACTCATGTTAGGCCTGCAATTACATACAATCCACACAACTGAAATGTTCCTTTATTTCTATTGTTGAAAAATATTTATATCATAAAGAGGGAAGAAGGACGGGGTATCTGAAGTTATTTGCAGTGCAAGAAGGACTTCTTCAGTGCTTATGTTTCCTGAATCAACAGCTTTTTCATTCCCTGCATGTAAGGTCAGTTCAACGTTGCAACACACTTTTAGGCACTCGTTTGTGAGATGCATAGGTATTAAGGCAGCTTTAGTCTGCCTTAAATTTTATTTTATTAACCCCAAACTGTTTTGACTCTGATTCATGTGAATGAATCAGGATCTTCCACTGATTGATGGATACAGCTGGTCCACCCTCCTATGACTAGAGCAGTGGAAGTGGATAGTAAAAATAGGTGGGAGGTAGGACTGATCCTCTGCCCTGGGAATCCCTGGCTGCTTTAAAAAGCCCCTGTAGAGCCAATGACATTGGATAGGATTTTAGCTTGCTGTAAAACTTTTCAGGGACCAGAGAAGCAGAGCATGACATGGCAGCTCTGCGCCCTGGACAGTGGCAGCACACAGAGCTGTGCTAGGTGCCATGCTGCTGGCAGCAGCTGCAGGGCCAGATTCCAGCTGAAACAATGGCTATCTTTGTGCACCCTAACCCAGCCTCCAAGGATGCCACCTTGGTCACCTGCCCCTCAGCTGACTACTGCAGAACAGTACGAAGTACAATCAAGGACATGCAAAGATAGCTCAAAGCCAGCTGTACACTCTCTCTTTCATACAGCCAATGAGGTCTTCTCAGTTGCTGATAACGACACACAAGAGAGAGCACAAATAAGGTCCAAAGTTACAGGAGCAATATATGGTGGGAAGGCAAGAAAGACTATAAT